ATTTTTCTTTCTCCAAGAGTATTTATCAATATATTATTAAGCATAAAAACAATATTTATTTAATTAATTTTTATAATTACTTCTTAGCAAGACATAACTCTAACATTTGGCAACGTTTGCACAGACAGAAGACGTTTCTAAAAGTTGACTTTAGCGGACTATTTTGTGATGCGTACGAACGTTCTTTTCAAAGTTGTGAACTGTTCCTGAGATTTCTACTACGCTTGGAGCTCAGCTAAAAACAAAATACAAAAACGCAAGCGTTTCTTTACCCGTTGTTTTATTTTATTTTTTTTGTCCTGTTTAAACAGTTTTTCAGAGCACCAACAAGACGCAACATGGGAAATTGAGCCTCCGAATCGATTCCTTCCAGTGATTCGGTCTTAGCTCGTAGTGTCGTCGTGGTGCAGTGTTCGAGGTGTGGTGCAAGGCGTTAGAGACGCCACGTCACGCTGGGGCTGTCCCGCAGTGTGAGGTTCCACAGAGGTGGAGCCCGGAGGCTGGACCCACTCAGTGTCGTGAGAAAGTCCTTCTCGGTGACGTCGTGCCCAAGGAGCGATGTCCGGAGCCAACAGGACAAGGGACCGTCATACGGCTAGTTGCAGAAATTCACTGCCAGGGTTGCACAGTCGGACACTATACTTCGTTTCGCCTTCCGCTCAAACGCAGCCAGCGCTACGAGCTGGTGAGACCAATCGGATGGTAAAAGCGCACCATCATGGGGTTCGTCATGTTTATGTGCGTGTTCTATCATCGCTGATCCAAACATAAACAAGGAGGGCCCAGCGGCTTGCGCTTTTGACGCTGCTTGATCGGCCCCTTTGCTCATAATTTCGGCTGCGTCTAAACTTACGCTGAAATGAAATATAGCTGGCGCGCGCAGCCTCTGAGACAGGTCAGAAACGAAAAGAAGGGGAGCTTTATCTTTAAAGACCCATGATGCATAAAAGGCATTAGAGGGAATTAGTGAGGGAATCGGTGAGCCTCGTGGAGTGTATTTTCTCGCTAAATTTAGCGTGGAAACGGGGTGGTTGTAGAGCTCACGTGATGTCAGGTCACGTGGCCAAATGTTCAGTTGGGCTGGTAGCTTTGTGACCCAATAGAAGCGCCGAAGGACAGGAACAAAGTGAAAGGGAAACTGGTTTCATGTCTAGATCACAAGAGGGGAATTTTGCCGCTAAATTTAGCGGCTAACTGAATTGGTGTGTAGGTTGCGTTAAGTTAATTCCCTGCTAAATTTATGAGGAAACTGAATTTATGTTTTGGCCACAGGACGTGAATTTTCCCGTTAAATTTAGCGGGGAAAATGAGTTGACGAATAGGTCACGTGCCGTCTATTTCCCTAAAGTGTTTAGGTGACGAGATGCCAGGCCACGTCACGTGAGGCCACTTTCCCCACTGAAAATGCACGGACCGGAGGATGGACAGACGGGCGGACAGACGAACCCGAGGACACATTTTTGGCATTGAGGGGAGTGGGGGGTAGCGTTAAAAATCATTTCGTGCTTTAATGTAGCCGCGTGTTCCCTTTGTAACAGCAACTCCAACGCCCCAGCCATGTGCGTTCCCGTGGCCGAGCCACGTGTGCTGCATCGCACGAAAACCAAAACGAACAAAACACATTCCACCTAACATCTGCTAAGCATTCCTAAATTTTGAGATTCGGGTCTTCAGTAGTACCAGAACCTAACCAGCAAGACCTTCAGGCAGAAGAGACAAAACAAAACAGACGTTTCTGCTGTGCCTCTCAGGCGGTCCGTCCGGTCGATATGAGGCCACGCAGAGGCCAAACCAGACTCCCCTTCAAGTTGCAAGTCTTGTGTTAATCCATAGTCTCAAATGCGTCTCCGACTGGTGTGTTTACCGACTCCCCAAATGTGGGTGCCTCTATTTTATGGCTTGATAACATTATAAAAGTGTCCCGTTGTCATGGCCTGCGACCTCGGGTGGTGTCAGAGCAGCCGTGGTGTTTGACACAAACGCCTGTTCTCCTGCAAATCACTATGCAGCTTTTCAGTTCAAGGGAGCTTCTAGAGCGAGTAGTTAAACCTGCGCGACAACAGAAACAATCACATTCGCTCGTACTTATTGCCGGAACTTCTAAATCTAACCACCGAGGCCGCGAAAGACGACATCACGACACGCAAGCTTCTGTGAAGCATTATTTGTGACATTTCGAGACCAATGTTGGTGTATGGGTGGTACAGAACGCTAGACACACCAGTAGAAGATGCGTTACAGACACCGTAGTTGCGAGGCACAGGCTCCCAGCAGTCCAGGTCGCCTCCCCGAAAAAAGAGACTCATTGACGCCGTCGGGCATTAAGGGATGTCTGAATCCCCTACGCAGACCAGGTCGTTTTTACAGCTATAGCTGCTGGGCTCTTCTCACCACTGGAATTGACATCCGTTCTTGATGTTGCACGTCTTGACGTTGTTGTCGTAGTTGTTGTCGTTGTTGACGCTTTGAGTTGGCGTTGTAGGGCGACCGTCGTCGATGTTGTCCAATCCTCGAAAAAGATCGCCCGCCGGCCGCGGGCATCGAACCTGGGTCGGCTGCGTGCGAAGCGGAGGTGGCACCACAGGGCTACACCACAACGTTAACAACTAGTTTCATACTCTAAGGGACACTGACAAACCCCCCAAAAATGTTAATCTTTTCTGGCCAAGCGAATCAATATGGTGTCAGAAGACTACCCAATTATTATTTTGCGACAGAGTCACGTATATTTTTCATAAACCAAAGAAACTCAACTTCTCGAAACCGAGACCGAAACCTATGCACAGAGGTCGGAGAAATGTAGAGGAGAAGAGAGTGCCGGACGTCACGTGGCTACACCCGACCGTGCTTTTTTTTGCCCCTCCTTTACTTTTTTTCTGGCCGCGCAGCAGACGACGTTGTTGGCAGCGTTGTGGGTACCGTTTGCCCGGCGATTGCTTTGCAGTTATGTTTGTTCCGCTTGCTGGTCTGAACTTCAAGATTAGTTCTTTTGTACATTAAAGAGTTTGAAATGAGTCGTGAGTGCGCGTGATGAATGCCCGTGATCGGCTCCGCAAAGAATGCCCCCAAAATTGTTGCGTGAAGAGCTGCCTCAGGTTCTACATCCGAAAGCGGCATTGTACGGCAGAGTCTGTACAAATTTCCGAAAGATAAACCTAGATGGGGACCAATGGGTGGCTGCAATTTTTGCAGAGCGGTTACGGGCACCTCGGAAAGCGGACGCGACCCGACTTATATGCTCCTTGTGTAAAGGGGCTAGATTGAGTTCGGAGGTGTCAAAAATGGAGCTCCATGCCGTTTAGTTCAGCGACGTTTCGCCCACTTCCTTTTTTCTCTGATAATGGTAAAAAAGAAATTTGCAAATACCGCAAATTTTTTGACAAAAAAAATGAAAAAAAAAAAAAAAAAAAACTGCATACCGACACTCTGGATTGAACCTGGGTCCGCTGCGTGTGAAGTGGGGGCCTTTCCACAGATTTACTCTACAGCTTTAAATAGTCGTGTTGACAATTTATTTTATACGAGACCCAAAGGGCGACTGCTGCCGGCAACGTTTTTAACGGGTTATTCCGACTGCCGGCAGAATATCCATTTCCTAACAACATAGACTTGTGGAAGTCCTTGGGCGCCAGGCAGCTTTTCATCATGGAACACGAAGTACAACATTTCTATCATCGTAATGATAAGGCAGACGAGGGGGAACTCCTCGTTCGCTGTAATGCAGCCTGACGACTGTAGGTCGAAAAGTTTGCTGCCAATTTCCCTGCAGCAAAGGCACTGCCCAGGCTCAAAGTAGGGCAGCACCACGGATTAGCCACATTCGCACTTAGTAAATAAATTATAAGCATGCATATTCAACTCAAAGTACGCACTTCGTGCTTGACGTTCAAGCGTTTTTTTTACGCTGTTACCAATACGTGTTCGTAAGATTCTCGATGTCATCAGCCACGAGAAGGGGCGACCACTCGGTGACGTCTTCGTGCAAATTAGCTTGGTGGTCGGGCTTGTCGTACAGAATGAACCCGAATTGTTTTCAAAGGTCCAACTTTGATCTTTGGAAGTAAGACAGATTCGCTTGTTCCGCGAACGGCAATACTGAAGTAGAGGTCCCACGCCTGTCGCCTCCCGCCATCGCCATCCAGCCTGCGTGTCCAGCGATACGCGATACGACGACTTGTTGGGCATTACGCGGTAACTGCACAGAATGCTTCCGGTTCTCTGTGCCACTTTTCCTTTTTTCTATGAAAGTAGTTGCAGCTTTTTGGAAACAACCAAAAAAATGTATACATATATATTGAATGTGTACTTTAAATGACCCACGACTTGCGTCTAAACGCCTGAAAACGACCCGTGACCACGGAGAAGACAATGAGCTCGACTCAAACCGGCCAGTTCTTGATCGATGGTCATCGGGCAGAAAAAAGCCGAATTTCGAGCCGCAAGTTTTTTTCTGGGTAGTTGGGTTCTCATATATCTTGTACAACTAAGGAACTCGGCGAGCACAAATACCCTGTCAGTGTCCCCCTTTAAGGTTTTTGTAATATCCAAAGCCCACTGCACGCGCTCTCTGAAGAAAAAAAGAACGATAACAACACGACGTTGAAGCACTGTCAGTTCCAGGAGCTCGTGCCGAAAAACATACTTTCGGGCGCACCAAAAAACAAATAATAATAAAAAAAATAAAGACGTGTGCAACAAAATGGACGGATGTCTATTCTGTTCCGAACGCTTTGTTCACGCACCATATAATGTGTGAACGCGGCGCCGATGCCAACCGACTTGGCCCTTACTTGTTGCTATCGCTGTGATTTGCTGCATTTGAAACAGGACTGCCAAATATTGTGACAGTCATCATAGCCTGTGCCACCGTCACCAACTGACATCAGGCGTTATCAATCTTTTTGTACATAAGACTACCTTCTCAATGCCTTCTTTATTTTTTTTTTTTTTTTTTAGAAAACTTGAGTAAGATTTATTTCTCGCGCCTTTTTCTTCTGCAGTACCTCCGGAGACCCCCGTCATACGAGACAAGTACGGCAACAGAGTCGACAAAGTTGCTGGCCCCTACCGAGAGGGGGAGTCACTGACTTTAATCTGCGAAGTCAAAGGAGGTAAGTTCTACTGTTGTGGAAACTAGAGCAGACGGCACTTAAAAACTAGAACAAATAGGTATCTTTGATTTCGAAGTGTCACGGGTAGGTATGTCGCATAGCATGGTGCATGTAGCCTTCGAAAGTGTTCTCGTTGCATCCAGCTCCCGCGCAACAAGATTCTAATTTTGAACGCGCCTTTGGTTTTCCAAACGCGGTATGTACTTCATAATTCACCCTGAGTATGAGACAAAGACACATAAAAGTTCAAGAAAGGAGCTTAAAGCCGATTTACTCACAAAGGGTACGATTTATGCTTCGAATTAACCCTCGTCGTTAACACGGCCTCATTTAATTGATCCCTGTGAGGGATGGTTCAAATTGCTTAAGAATTGACTAAAAGTAAAAACAAAGCAATATTAGTTGGCGCATAGCTTCGTCGTCAAGGTAAAGAAAAATTAATGTTTTACGCTTAGTGCAAATTTATATTTTATTTATTTATCTATAAAAGCAACCAGCTACAGTGCCGATGCATTATAGCAGATATAGCCTACTGTTAATAAAAATAAGTTGTTTCTGGAACGTAACCAGGTAACAAGCCAATAAAGATTTTCAATGAAACACGACAGCATGTTAAAAACAACTAAGTTAAAAATGGAAATCACGTCCTGAAATAAGCGATTCATGCTATACTTACAATGGCAGACTCAGGCAGTGTATTCCTCCGGTAATCGCCGTAATGACAGAAATAAAACACAGTATTTTATGTGGCTCACTTATTACTTCCCGCCTGCCTCAATATATTTGTTTAAACGTCCAATAAGTTAAAAACAACGGAGGAGATGCCGGCCTGTGAACCTTAAGCATCTTGAACACCCGAAACTCAAAACGAAAACTTTTCCGTTTTAATGCAATTAAACTTTTGGTTCCTGGTCTTGGGTATTGAAGATGCTGAATACAATATTTACTTTTGTGTTTTCCCTTTTAACGTGCAATCAACGTGTACGTGCACGTCTCTTGACGCCATTTTAAACTTTTATGTAAGAGAGTTCGGCGCATAATCACCGCCATTCTGAGCAACTGCAGGCATATATTTTGTGGTATTGGTAACTTGCGAAGGAACAACTCAGGCCAGAATTTCCGCGTAATGACCCATGCGCGGCGTGTTGTTTAGCATGCAGTGTGTTGCTACTGCGTACGGGTCTTCCATGCAAACTTTAAGTAATTTGGATCATAATGCCCCGTACGCATCTTCCATACCACGCACTCATCAAGTAACTAGCGAATCTGCAATCGTTTTATCTGTTTATTTTCTTAGAAAACTTCCCACGAGGAGTTTGTTAAAGGGATACTGAACCAAGGAATTTAGTGTCCATAATAAGTGGCTCACGTTCTTTCCACGAGCCAGCAGCCGCTGGTGTGCGCGAGCACGCGCAACAAAAATCACGTTAAAGTCCTCCATTCGCGGTTAAGATGACAGTGAAGTGTATGGGTTTCGGGCCAAAGGAGAATAAAGACAAGTTTTTCATCTACACAGTGGCGCCTGATGCAAAAGGTAAGCGTTTAATTGGTCTAACAAGCACGTAGCTTTCACAATTGTGGAAATGAAAAGCCTGTCTTTATTCTCCTTTGGCCCGAAGCCCATGCATTTCACTGTCCTCTTAAGCGCGAATGGAGGTCTTTGACGTCATTTTCGTTGCGTGTGCTCGCGCACACCGGCGGCTGCTGGCTCGTGGAAAAAACGTGCACCACTTATTATGGGCACTAAATTCTTTAGTTCCGTACACCTTTAAAAAGGACTCGATCCCACCACGTCGGTAACGAAACTAAACCCCGGAGAAAGGGAACAAGAGGGAGCAAGGACAAACACAAATATCCAAACAGAGCTAGGTGACTGGTGCGCGACCGAAAAAAAATCCGCCTGGTCCGGGTATTTAACCTGGGACCTCTCCATTTCCAGTGGAGCGCTCTACCTAGGGAGACTTCATGTGCGCTTTGCTAGGGTGATGCCATCCTTTGTAATACCACTCGCCGACAAACCAGCAGCCAGATTGTTCCTCGGCGATAATCCGTGGGGCTTATAACCCTCCCGGAAACAAGCAACTTATCTCACAAGTTCGGAGCAGCGTTGTGGAACCCACGGAGGGAGGATTAGCATTTTCCCTCTCGGATGGGATTACCGATGGACACAAAGGCCACTTTCCGGCGCACGGGAAAACAATGAGAGGAACAAAACGGCGGTGGACAAGAGTGTGGGAAAGGGAAACAGGCAGTTGGCATCACCCTATGCGAAGCGCACATGAAGGCACCCTACCTCTACCAACTGAGCTAACCAAGAATTAGTCGTTAGTAGAGCAAACGGGTTTTATCAGCTGCCACCAGTGTAACACCAAAAGGGTGAAACTTCCAGTTTCAAGGTTATGATTACAGGTGCAAGCGAGCTGCAAAGGTGCAAGCGAGCTGGACAAAGCGGATAAATGCTTTTTAGAAATACCGAAGTAATATATCACCATCTCGCACATCGTCACTCAAAATCCAACTAAAACGCAAAGAAAAAAATCAAATAAAATTTTCTCGATTACAGTTTGCTATCTCTGATAGGAATGGTATATCCGAGCACATGGGTCGCATCCCAGAAGTTTTCGGATTAGACACTGCCACTTTCCACGCAATTTAGCATCAAATTTGTGTATGTTAAAAATGTAACGTAGTGTACATTTTATATTTTCTTCACATATAGTTAAATTTAGCCCTCCCACCACCTCGCCCCTCCACCCTCCCCCGCCTTATGTAAAGAGCTTTGTGGGCATTTAAGGCTTAAATAAACGAAATAATAAAGATATGTATGCGCTTCTAGAAAGTCTATGTAAAATAAGATTATCTACGCGACTGGTAGCTGTTTGAAATAAATTGTTATAGTTACTGAGTGATTAAGAAGCGCCTAGGGTGGTGGCCTATTATGGTCGCGCTTCTTGCTTGGTCATTGCTTGAATTCACCGTTTTCATCGCCAAATACTGCAATCTCATTGGCCGAGGAGCGCTAATAAGTTGCTTGTAACTGTCATGGACTACACGGCGAGAAAGTGTGCCAAAATGCAACTTCGAAGCATTAGAACGCTGGGAGGGGCAGGCTAATCAAAGGGCAATACAGCGAACACACGGAGAATGCGCGATGACGAGGCAGCGAAGCTGCTTTCGTCATTGGTTGGGGGGGGGGGGGGGGGGGGGGTCAACAAAAGCACGTGGGAGCATTTTGGTGGAAAAACAAATGGACGAGGTGCGCGTAGCGAAGACGAACTTGCGCGCCGTATAGTCTCTTCGACAAAATGGCGGATCCATTCGGTTTGTTTGTCCTCTATAGCCACTGAAAAGGTGAAAACGGCAGGAAGGAGCTTCAGTTGTTCTGCCTCTAGCGTCAGCATCCTACCTTTGTCAATGCTGCGCCCTCTCGTGCACCTATAGAGAGCTCGCGCGGAGTAATAGCACGGAGGAAGATATGGAGCGCCTCCTGGACCCACGGGCGTTCAAAATGTATGCCAAGAGCAAATCGTCTGCTTCTTGCGCAAGGGTAGCGCTGGCGTCAGAACGACGTCGAGCTCTGATTGACTTTGATTGGAGGTATGGTGGGTAGACATCAATACTAGATACCTTGAAGTCTACCGCGGATTTTGTAAATCAGCCAATAAGAGCTCGGCGTCCTGACATAATCGCAACCCCTGCGCTAGAAGCAGACGGACAACAGAAGGTTTTCACTGGAGGCCATACTTGAGCACGATATTCAGAGAGCCTGTTCAGAACGACCTCACATTAATAGGCTTCTAAGACCGCCAGTCTTGATGGTGCGGAATGCACGTTGCAAACAAGCTGGGGAAACCCGCTGTCACCACGCGATCCGCAGCCGAGCACACAGCTATGGCCGCCAGTGAATACTTCCTGCACACCAACGTTGCTATAGGCCGGTCTCACGGCCAGTTTCATTACGCCACCATTGGGCCGCCATGCATCGTGGGATCTGTAGTCTTTCTGCTCGCGCGACAACCCCGCTGAGCGTCCGTGTGAGCAGTGCACGAGGCGGCACGAGCTGTCTCGTGCACTGGCGCCTGCCTCCTGTGAACTACAGCTATGTCGGCGTCACGCATGCGTGAAAGGTTCGGTGAGGTCGGTTACATTTAACATTATGTCCACGTATCTTGCTATTCTACGAACATTTTATAATCTCCAAAAGCACGTGCCGAGGTATGTTGGGCTGCACTGAGATCCGCGGTGGATGCCCAGCATACCCAGCAAATACTGAAAAATAGATTGCTCTGCCAACTGAAACGTGAGGCGTTCACTACATCATCGTGCCTATTTTATGCTGTTGTTATTAAAGAGTATAAAACGCCATGAGTATTGTTTTAGAAAACGAACAACTTATAAGAATATACTAGAACGGGGATTTCTCAGAAACGTAAGTACTTGTAGAGAACGACAATGTTATCAATATTTTGGTTTCTGGATTCAATGAATACAAAATAACCGGCCCGTGAAGGACTTATGAGCTTGTCCAACAAAACAAGGCTGTAAACATGCTATGTACAGGTCCCGTCAAAGTAAAACGGAGCGCCGGATCGGCGACCGAACTGCATCGCCGCGCTATCCAGCAGCGCCGGCTGGAACTGATAGGCCACATCTGCGCATGCGAACGTGCCTTCCGCTGGGGCCTCCGGTCTTTTCTTCCCACCCGCACGCTATCGGTGGTTCGAGCGGCGCAACGCTCTTCCTAAAACCGATGCCTGATGGCACAAGGAGCGGTGCTCATCGACAACACTCGCCCCTCTCTCCCACTTGCCTTCAGTGTTATCTCCCCGTATGAGCCCGAGCCGAACACCTAGCGGTGTTTATCGTGGTGCCAGAAGGCAGCGTGTCTCAATTTGTATATCTTCACCGAAAACATTTTCGTTTAGGCATCGGGTTCTCTCATAGACATTCTGCAAGCACACTTACAGGAAGAATTAGATGTAATTGAAAAATTTCGAAAA